GGGGGGGGGGTGCTGAGTGAGGAGACAAGTGTTGTTTTATTTGAATCTCAATTTCAGGCTAGAGTTTGCTGTATGACCTTATTAAATCCTTTATCCTCTTTGGGTCTCATTTCCTGCCATCCCTGGAGGGCTGATCAAATTGGGAGAACCTAGTTCCCTAGGGTATAGGATGAACCTTTTCAGAGCCTGGGCCTGCTCATCTGTTATACCTTCTTTCCCAGGATGCACTTCGAAATTCAGGTGGTGATGGGCTGGGGCAGATATCTTTGGAGTTCTATCAGAAGAAGAAGTCTCGCTGGCCTTTCTCAGATGAGTGCATCCCATGGGAAGTATGGACAGTCAAGGTGCATGTGGTGGCCCTGGCCACAGAGCAAGAGCGCCAGATCTGCAGGGAGAAGGTGGGTGAGAAGCTCTGTGAGAAGATCATCAACATTGTGGAGGTGATGAACCGGCATGAGTACCTGCCCAAGATGCCCACGCAGTCAGAAGTGGACAACGTGTTTGACACAGGCTTGAAGGATGTGCAGCCCTACCTGTACAAAATCTCCTTTCAGATCACTGACGCTCTGGGCACCTCAGTCACTACCACCATGCGCAGGCTTATCAAAGACACCCTTGCCTTGTAGCCCTTGCTGGAGCCTTGGGAGATCCTCAATGGCTCTCAGATGTTGGCTTCTGAAGATTGTACTGTCAGGCCCTTTGGGGCTCTGGAACTGACTCTGGGTCATTGATGAGACTTGGAAAGGGTAGCCCCTGGCTTCCTTGTTTTATGGTAGCCAGCCTCTGGTCATCCCTTTTACCTTTGCTGATGATCAGGTTCTGCCTGTAGTCTTTGGGGAAGGGGAAGGGGGGGGAATCCCTCTTCTTTTTGCATTGTGCAGCAGAGCCCCTTAAGGCTGGTGAATAAAGTTGAGATGTGAGTTTGGGTTCAACTATCTCTCCTTTGGACTGTGTCCTGCTCTGAAGCATTTATACTTTCTGCCATTCCTGTGAAGAACACAGATATGTGTTGGCATTTATTCCAACCTGAGACAAGGAGGGGAATAGGATTAAAGATAGAATTTGCAGCTTTGTTGGACATTCACATAAGTATGTGTTACAACTCAGATGTGATTGTGATTAATCCAGGAATGTCTTGGTCTTTATGAAACACACACAGGTCCTGACTTACACTAGAAAACCATTTTAATGTGAGGTAACTGGGAAGATACTGGCTAGCTCGCAGTTGTGGTGTCTGGTGACATGTCTAGGTTGGGCCTTCTCACTGTTATTAGGCACTGCTTTGGTAGTTTACACAAATTTTACACAAGCATACTCAATCTATTATATGCTAGGCTTTATTGATTTGTTCAATCTTTTGCATTGACTAGTTGCATGTGCAGAGGGAATGAACAGTGGGGGGAGGTATTGCTCAGTGTCCTGGAGCAGGTAAGTAGCCAGGATGGCCAGGAAGTGTTAGTATGTTTTACCCTGGTCATGCCACCCTTGTCCATGGCTGTTTGCTGTCTGAGGTTTTGTGAGGTCCTCCTCGTGGTTTCTGGGCATCCTGGAGGTCTCTAGATGGCTGGCCTGTTACAGGGCAGGTTCCTTCCTCTTTCCTTCTGAGGCATAGGTGATTGATAGATGTTTACCAGTGACTTTATTTTGAAAAGAGGATGGAAAGCTTGCTGCAGATTTTTTCTGGAGATCTAGGTGGAAGGTCTTGCTTCCATGTCAGCTTTCCAAGCTCTCTGCTTTTTTTTTTTTTGCATCCGGACTCCATATTCCCACTCCCTGGCTGAGTTATATGGTACCCAGCTGGTTATGGGCTGTCCTTTTGGCATATGTGATTCCCCTGGGGTAGGGATAGGAATGCTGGCAGCTTAGCTCAGATCTGCTCTCTGTTATTGGTAAATAGGACTTTCCTTGGCCAGTGAGGCAGGAGAATAGGAGTTGGGGTAGGTCCTGAAATCTGGGTACCTTGTTCCATCTTCCATGTGCTGGAATCCAGGGGAAGCATGGGTCTGTTTGTCCCAGTGTAAGAGTGCATCACCCACATACTTTAGGCTGCTGGTTTATGTCATCTTAGTGGGGGCATCTAGCAGTGTTGAACTTTGGTCCTGGGAAAAAAATTTTTTGTGTGTGCTGGTCCTGGGGCTGTCCCTGAGCTTTTTTTTACTCATGGCTAGTACTGTTATCACTTGAGCCACAGCTCCACTTCAGGCTTTTTTGGTGTGTAATTAGAGATGAGTCTCAAAAGAGTTTTTGCTCAGGTTGGCTTTGAACTGTGATCCTCAGATCTCAGCTTCCTGAGTAGCTAGGATTATAGGTGTGAGCCACCAGCATCTGGGTTGAAACTTTTTTTTTTGGTCCTGAGTCCTGCCTAGTGGATCAGTATTCCCAGTCTGCAACTGGGATAGGCTTTGGATAGTCCCGAAGGAGGTGTTAGCTCTTGGCCTTCTTTGCAAGGGAAGAGAGCCTGGGTGACATAGGATCTGAGGTCGCCAAGGTACATGTGTGCGCCTTGGGAATTAGGAGAAATGCACCAGGATTAGGAAGGAGCCCTGCCTGTCCAGCGAACCGGGTTTACACGGGGAAGAACGGGGAAGAGCAGTCCTCTAGGAGGCGAGGAGCTTGAGCTGGGAGTGAGGTCGCAGGGCTCCTGAGATCCGCCCCCTTGAATCCCAGCTATGCCTCGGTCCGCCCTCTGGCCCACCCACCAGCCTGAGCTCCCGCACATCTGGATAGCAGCCTTGGGAACATGAACGGCTCTCAGGTGGGCGCAGTGGCCCAGGCTTCCTGGCTGAGCTGCTGCAACCAGTCCGGGGAACCCCTACAGCCTCCGGAGAGCCAGGGGCCTCGCGCAGTGCAGGCAGCAGTGCTGGGCGTGCTGTCTCTGCTCGTGCTCTGCGGGATCCTGTTCTTGGGCAGCAGCCTCCTCCTCCGTGCCCAGGGGCTCACGGCACTGCTGGCTCGCGAGTGGCGCCCATCCCGGGAGGCTGAGCCTGGAGGTGCCAGTGAAGGTGAGGAAGACTCCTAGGTGCCAGGCAGCGAGCGCTCCAGTCTGATCCGAGGCCTCCTCCTTGCGTCCTGAGTGCGCTGGGCAGGGGGCAGCTGCTGATGCTGCCCAACAGAGGATCCTTCAAACTCTTGGGCTTCGTTCCGGTGAGAAGCCCTGGGCACAGGCAGATGCGATAGTAAGTAAGAGGTGAGGGGGAGAAGGGGAGACACGATGGGACCTTTACCTATACTAAGGGTACCTCTGGGTAAGTCCAGGAGAAGGCGGGTTGCAGCTACCAAGGTTCCTTTCTCTTCCAGGTCTGCTAAAGCCAGCCTGTTCCACCCCAACTTGAGTCCCTTTCCCCCTTTGTCCTTTTCCTAGGAACAGATGGCCACTGTGAAAAGTGGGAGAGGGCACAGCAGATATATCAAAAAGGAGGGAGTCTGAAAGGACCACAGCATGCTCTGGAGACCTCCCAGCACCCAATCTTCTGCACCTGTTCAGCCTCACCAGGCTCTAAGGCTCCCCACCTAGGTTTCCTGGGCCCTGCCCTCAAATAGGAACCACTACCCGCTTTGGGTTTGAACTCTCCTTGATGTCTTTCCTATCCCGTCCCCCCACCCCCAAGAGCGAGATTCCTCACTGTAGCTCCTGCTGAGGTATCTCAGATGTCTGGGTTACCCCGAGAATCCCTTTCCCAGGTTCCTGTATCCCAGAGCCAGGAGCTTTGTGTGGTGTGAGACTGGAAAGGTTCAAGGCAGCTGGGGGGCTTCAAGAGCACATTCCACCAGGAAGTGGGGCTGAGGATTTCCAGCTGTGGGGGCTCTGTGTGGGTCTCCTGTCTCTTGTCTGTCCAAGGACAGGAACCATCTGGAGGGAAGGGCCTGGGTGGCCCAGAAGACAAGTAACTCTAGGCCAAGGCCATCTACAGAGTCCTGGGCTGGGTGGGGGAGGGGCAGACCTGCACTGTCCCTCTCCTTGTTCAGCCTTGTATGTAAGATTTCTGTGGGTAGTGGTATTATTTGTTGGGAGTGACTGGCTATGTCTGCCTCTCTTTTTCAATCCCTCCCCCTGCTTGCCCAGGACAGGAACAGGGTCCCAGTTCACCTGTGAGGAGAGTCTATTGGATGGCTGTGAAGAGAGGCTGAGAAGGGACAGTCATCAAGGGTGTGAGCAGGTGCAGCTAAGGTAGCTGTGAAGCTGACAATGTGTGATCCTGGCAGAGCAGTGCAAGGATTGACACTTATTAGATGGGGCTTCTGGGCTACACAAGCCCTATGACTTGCCCACTTCTCAGAGATGCCATCTCCAACTCTTGTGTGTGTTTGAATGTTCCTGGCAGCAGGGCATCTGGCTGTACCCAAAGGTCATTTCCCACCTCACTTGGTTGGGCCTGGAAAAGCAAAGAACTCCCTCTACATTGTTTTCCAGTCCTTTCAGCTTTCTGCTTGACTCATGTGCTGTCTTCTTCCCTTTCCACCCTGTGTTCTCTATCTTTCCCCAGTGAGATAGAGGGTCTCCAGACCTCTGAGAATCCTTCCCAGAACTTCTGAAAACAGCTCTGAAACTCAGAAGCAAGAGACCTGATCAAGTGAATGGCAGCGCTGGAACTGGACTTTGGGCCTCCAGGGCTTGGACTTATGGTGGTGTCCTTCCTGCTCTGTCCCTCTTCTCTTCCCCTGATGTCTCCCACCACTCTTTGAGATGCTGATGTAAAATGCCTCTCTTCCAAAGAAGGAGCCTTCATGCGTGCATATGTACACACACACACACACACACACACACACACGGCATGTAGTTTATCAGGGCACAAGCCCAAGTCTCTGTGTCACTGTTTGTCCTGTCTCTGATCTTCCAGGACCCCTGCTGATAACTTTCCTGCTGCTAAAACAGTTTTCCTGATGCCAGCCATTTCCTAGCCAGCTAGGCTCAGCTTTCCTGGCCTAAGCCTGATGAATGGGTAAGGGTTTAGAGATTAGTTAGAATAAACATCGACAAGAAAGATCCAGGTGGTGAACTGGAAGGGCTGGCCTTTTGTTTAAGTTCCTGTGGTATTAGGGATGATTGGAGGACAGTCTGTCCCCAGCATCATCATGTCTGCTCGCACCTGTGACGGGTTGGGGACAGATAGGGGTTCGATGTCCTCAGCTCAGTGTTTGGTGGAGGAGTGGGACTTGCTGAGGACTGAAGTGTTCCCAGGGGAAGATACTGAATAGTTTGTTACAGAACTGTGGCCCTGATCAAGGTATTGGACTGAATGAGGTTGAAAGGGCTTAGAAAATTTGGAAGTGGATGATATCACCCCACCTCAGGCTCAGGCTGGGAATGAGGTGGGAATAAGGTACAAGTCTAAAAGTCTCAAGAAAAACCAGGCATCTGAGCTCCCAGACAGCGGCACTAGTCAGTGCTATACATGGGATGGGACTGGGACCACATGTGGGCTGAGATCTTAACTTTCCTTCAGCCTATTATTCATCCTGGGCTAGAACAGGCTACAGAGTTTAGCCCATCTTCTCCTTGGCCTCCAACGGTACAACTTCCCTCCAGCCACAGTGGGAGGGGCCATCTCTTACAGATTCCTGTGCCACGTGTGAACTGCATCCTGGAGGGCTCTCAGCAGCTGCTGCCCTGGTGCTTCAGGTGATGACTGCGAGACATCTGGACTCTGATGATTCCTCGTTCTGGGATCCTGGCACCCACTACTTCCTCTGAGCTGCTCCCCTCCACCTTCTGAAGGACTCCTAGTGTGAGCCTGGGAAGTCCATGCTAGGTGACTGCTGTGTACCCTGTGCTCAGAAGTGGCCTCACCTACTAACTGATGTAGTAGTCACTGACTTTACACCCACCAGGCCTTTGAGTGCAGTCCTGTTCTGCCTGGGCAGGGCACCAGTGATCTGACAGCCCTGTGATCTGTCCCTACTTGAGGGCTTTTGGTACCCC